TTTTTTTTTTTTTTTGAGACAGAGTCTCACTATGTTGCTCTCATTAGAGTGCTATGGTGTCATAGCTCACAGCAACCTCAAAGTCTTAGGCTTAAGCAATTCTCTTGCCTCAGCCTCCCTAGTAGCTGGGACTACAGGTGCCCACCACAAAGCCCGGCTATTTTTTGTTGCAGTTGTCATTGTTATTTAGCGAGTTCGGACTGGGCTCAAACCTGCCAGCCTGGGTGTGTGTGGCTGGTGCCGTAACCACTGTGCTATGGTGCCAAGCCTACTGTAGGCTTCTGAGAAAGGAAAGTTGATGGTGGATATTTATTGAGAAAGCATTTGTGTGCAGCCAGTGCCAGGTGGCAAGCTCCCTTCATTGGCCTAGGCTTCTCTGCCTGGCCCAGAAGTGCCTGGCATATGTACCCCTCTTTCCCTAGGATTGAAGGTCATTTAAGCATGTGGGGAGATGAGTCTGCCCTTCCAGAAGGCCTGTTGTAAGGGCTGCTGCATTTGATCTTTGGGGAAGGCAGTAGGTTATAGTGGTTAAGATCTTATTTGCCTCTGTCATCAGACAGATGTGGGTTCTAATCCCAGCCCTGCTGATCAGTAAGAGTTACTCTCTTCATGCCCAGCTTTCTCATCTATAAAATGGGGACAATAAGAGTACCTCTCCAGGGTGGCATCTGTGGCTCAGTGGGTAGGACACTGGCCCCATATACCAAGGGTTTGAGCCCAGCGACCCTGGCCAAACTGCAACCAAAAAATAGCTGGGCATTGTGGCAGGTGCCTGTAGTCCCAGCTACTCGTGAGGCTGAGGCAGGAGAATCTCCTAAGCCCAGGAGTTGGAGGTTGCTGTGAGCTTTGATGCCACGGCACTCTACGGAGGGCGATAAAGTGAGACTCTGTCTCTAAAAAAAAAAAAAAAAGAGTGCCTCCCCCCAGGGCAGTTGTAAGGATTAAGATGTTGCCGATTGAATATTTAGCACATACCAAGTAATAAATGCTTGGTAAATGTTAGCCATATATAACAAGCTGCAGGGAAGAACTTTCAAGAATTAGTTGAAGCAATTCATGGTGACTAGAACTATGTCCCATTGAGCTGTCAAAAGTGTCCTGAGGGATCACAAGATCACAGAATTTTACTGTGTCCTTTCTGAAAAGGAAATCTATGGGGATTTTACCCAGGCTGTATGGGAGCCATGCAGATGATTCAGCTCAGCTCTTTAAAAGAACCATTTTTAAAAATAGAAGTAGGACTGCTGAGAAAAAATAGTAGTTTAAAGTATACATGGGAGAAAATGTATTTAGAGTTTCGCCCATGTATGTCCCCACTGGCAACCCTAGTCTGCTACCTGAATTAGCAGCACCAAGGGGCATCACACACATTGATGTGTGTGGTGGCTCAAAATACAGACCCCCCAATCCCCACACATGAGCTCCCACATGTAGCTGGGGCTGCGCTGGGTACTGGGGCAAGAGGAGGATGGAGAGTCAGGCCCTGCCCTAGAGGAGGTTGTGGTCTAGCAGGGACAGAGTCGGGCTCCTAACCAATTAACACTTGCACAGAGCTTGGCCAGTCTCTCACAGAAGTCTGTGTAGCATGTGGTGAAACCCAGTGGAAGGAGTGATTCACCTTGCAGATGAGGAGGACACTGGGGAAAACTTCAGAGAGCCTTAGAATTTGAACTGAATCTTGATGAGTGATCAAAGTTTTCTGTGTTTCCAAGAAGCCCTACAGGCAGGGGGAGCGGCATGGCATAGGCATGAATGTGCACTGGTGTGCGTGGCACTTTAGAAACCAAAGGGGTTCTAGCCCTGGGTGTGAAGGGACTGGCTGCAGGACCCACCTAAGAGGTAGGCAGGCACCAGTGCTAAGTTGCTTGGACTTCGTGTGCTGTTGGTGATGGATGCCTTGTGTTAAGTGGAAGGAATACGCCATTAGACCTGCATCTGCTTTGCGGATGGATTAGGGAAAGAGAGAGACTAGTCACCGTAGGAGGCTGTTGCAGTAATCATAGCAGGGGCTGAGGGGGCTTGGATCAGGGTGAGACAATCAAGATAAGAAGAAGGGCAGAGATCAGAGCTGTTTGGTAAGAAATCAGCTGGACTCGGGGAGTGTTTGTAAGTGACAGTTGAGAGAAAAGGACTAGTGGCAGGTGACCCTGAGGTTTTTGATTTGGGTGACAGAGTGA